TAAAACCTGGGGAGGGGGTACAGATTGCCTACCCCTTGCTTGAAAGAAGTCCTACAAAGAGCTATAATTTGCAGAGGGCTGGGTGTTTCTGCAAACCAGCCTCACGCTGAGATTTTTTTTTTATCCTGGCTGATGCCAAGACTTACTTAGTCTGTCCAGGCCTCCTTGTATATGTCAGTAAAAATACTTTAAAGGAGCTTGTTGTTATTGCACCTGACAAACAGATTTGTTGAAATGTGTCAGATAATTTAATTGCTTCTGTGAATTCTCTGGGAAGCTGTTTGACATTTGCAGTCAGTCTGTGATTTGCATTTAGTCATAAAGTTTCGGTTTTCTGAAGGTTTTCTTCCACCGAGAAAGAGGCTTCTGTTTTTCTACTTCACCCTTAAGTTATTTATGTGCAATAGTTTTCCTTGGGTTTAATTGATACATGGGATACAAGGAAGGTTGCACATTCTAAAAAGGTTATTGCAAAATCCAACGTGTCATGCTCAAGCATAGCCTTTGAGCAGATTATAATTAAGTTAAATACAAGCATTCCACCTAGGACAAACCACACCAGGATGTTCTTCTAATTTATGATGGAAAGGATTGGCTGGGATGGTCAGTATTGTGCTGAACTGTCCAAATCAAAGTGAACCAATCCCACCCTGGCCATCCTAGAAGGAAGATAAAACAGAGTCAGAAAATCAAACCATTACAAGTCATTTTATTATCCACATTCATCATTTGCCCCCCTTCTCTGTCTGGTTTGCAGGAGGTGGAGGGAAGCGGAAAGGAAGGAGCAAGAAATGGAGGGAGATCCTCAAGTTCCCACACATCAGCCAGTGTGATGAGCTCCGGAAAGGGTTGGGTAAGTGCAACATGAGACAGACCCAGCCTGCTCAAGAAAATGAACTTGGCCCCTAAGGCAGGAGCTGGGGACCAAAAGCATCACAAAATCCCCTCTCACCCCTGTGGGTGGTCTGTGTCTTCCTCAATCTTGGGTCCTCTACCAGAGACCTGGGAATTTGAAGGTTCTGCAGAGTATCTTAGCTGTTCCTAGCACTGCACTCTTCTGAACAGAGAGCTCTGATGTCGTTCCTGGGATCTGTTGGAGCCATTCCCATCTCCCAGTTTAGGAGTCACAGCCCTGAGTGCTGCTACCACCACGGGGACCACTTTGGCCTTTACTTTCCACATTCTCTCTAGTTCTTCTTTCAGGCCCTGGTACTTTTCCAGCTTCTCATGCTCCTTATTCCTGATGTTGCTGTCACTTGGCACTGCTACATCTATCACCACCACTGTCTTCTGGTCCTTGTCTACTACCACAATATCTGGTCAATTGGCTAAATCAACATTAAATAAAACAGACCTGT